AAAAATAGAAACACTGTAGAACACTTTGTAGGCCACTTCACATAGTAAAATAGTTATTAGTAATTTTGTAATCATCCCTCAGGTATGTAATGATAATCACATGGATATAATATTATAAGCAGGAAAGCCATATTAGTAGAGAAATAGGTCACAAGGAAAAATATATGAATATGTATTACTGTAGTTGGTAAATGCCTGCATCCTATGGCATATGTGCAGTCATTTTTTTTTTTTTGTGTGTGTGTGTGTGTGTGTGTGTGCTGTACCACAAATCTTTCACATATATTCTCATTTGACCCTCACAACAACCCTGTGAGGTAGGCGGAACAAATGTTTTTCTCATTTAACAGATGAGGAAAGTAAATCTCAGAGTGGTTAACATGCCCAAAGTTCTACAGTTAGTAAATAATTGTATTAATATCAGTCTTTGGCCTAAAAATTCAGCACCCAGCCTCCCCTCATGTATGCCCACCTACTTCACAGGGATAGTGAAGATAAAATGAATTCAAGGCTAGAAAAATACTTGGAAGGAAAAAAGCTCTATTAATTATATAGTGTATGAACCCAGAACATTACATTACCTCTGTCTAAACTAACCAAGCAACTAAGTAAGGCAGGGTAACAGTGTGATCCTGTTTAACGATACATAAATCACAATCAGGATAACTTCATTATTAAGCAAAATGAACAACACACAAAGGCTAATGAGCAACTAGGCCCCACTAAAGTACACAGCAAAGCAAGGCAACATTATCAAACAGGGCATGACTGCATAGAAGAAAACAGTGGTGTCAGAGTTCAAACTGGCACACACATAGTTATCTAAGGCAAAGTGGTGGCAAAGAAGAGTTAATTGTTCAGCATTATATAAATAAAAGCAGAAAATTCATGGGAACCCATGCAAAAGCATCGTGTGTCACACAGATTTCTCCAGTTCAGTACAGGGACTATAAACACTGTTATCTTCCTTGTAAAGTATGATTGTACCTATGCTCATATCCTGAACTAAACCAAGGAGCAGCTCCACACTAAACGTCTTTGGGTAACATCTAACCAGTAGGATTACTCACAACCAGACTAACAGAATGTCTTTTAAGGTAATGAATTAGATGGCTGTTTAGGTTTCTTCAGAATTTAATTTGGCCCCATATTTGTCTTGCTTTAAGATCCAAAGAAAGTTGTACTGAGTTTTTATTGGTGATTCTGAGTATATACATTTATAACATTTAAATGTGAGAGATGAATTTAACATATTAAAAGTTCTATAGCATCTGTTCAGAAAGGATTATATACTATACAAACTAGTGAAGTCATACAAAACCATTTTTCATTGTCTTTTCAACTAAGAAGAATCCTATTCAGCACGCTTCTCCCCCTGAGGTGGTTCATACTGAACAAGCTTTGCTTTCAGTTTTTTATTTTCTTCTATAGTAGCTTCATATTTCTCTTTCATTTCTGCCAATTCTAGGTGAAGCAGCTCGATTTCTGGATTTTCTGGGGTAGCATCTCCTAAGTGATGCTTTAAAAAATCCAAGGCACTAGTAGGTTTCTCTGGTTCTTCATATAAGGCTGCCAATACCTTGGTCAACGTGTCCAGCACCCCCAACTTCTCCAAGTACCTCCGGAACTGCTCGCGCTTTGAGTCGGCGGCTTTGTAATGGGCCATAGTGACAGGGGCAGCGGGGTAGCTGGCGCCAGAGACCGTGGCCAGTGGGCTCGGAGCTGCACCGCTCATGCCTGCAGTCATCTTAAAATACTTTAAGATGTGTTGTTGTGGACGACCCGTGTCTTGAGGAGCTCACAGAAATGCTGAGATGTGTCACCACTACACATGGAGCTGCCCTCAGAGGTGAAAGCTCAAGAAATTTTATCTTCCACAAAGGCAGTTGTACAAAAAGGACATTTTGTCATTTATTGAAGAAGTTCCAATGTTTCTGCACATGCATTCAGTATGCACAATCCTTAGTACAAAGCCAATTTCATTCCCTTTTTTTAAAACATAGAACAAGTTAGAACTCCCTAAAGGGCTTTCCACAATTTGTACTTGTAGTATTGGGAATGATGCAACAAAATAGCATAGCAAATTTTAAAAAATAGCTTTGATAATTTAGAATTGTGCAGAAAAGGCCTAAAGATAAAAAGAATGCATAAATTATAAACAAAATGTTTAACATTCAGGATTTTAACATGTGGAATTTTATTAATTTAGTACTGTTATTTTAGTGTGAAGATTTTGCCCATTTAGATTTTTCTTCATTTGTGATTAGATGTTTGAAATTGTGTCTTTCAGGATTATCACTGAATATCCATTACCCTGCTGTGTGCCCAATGAGTCTGGACTTTCCTATTCTCTGGATCCTCACAGGGAACATTTTGTGATATTCTAAATCTTTTGCCTTTTATATAGATTTTAAATTACCATGTCATTTATAAAAAGCTACTGCTAAGCATCTGATTAAAATGACATTGAATCCATACAAGGAGTGCTGAAGAAACACAGTGTATGCTTATATTTTAAAATTATTACATACAAGACACATTGCCATTAAACTCTTCCCTCAGAATACTCCCCTTTGGTCTAAACACATGTATTCCTTATTCCTGTCACTTTCTAAAGCAGTTCTTAAAGTTCTCTCTCTTTTTTTCCCCATAATTTTATTGAGAAACAAATAGCAATGAGACAGTTTCAAACCAAATTGGTAGGACAGTTTCAATAATTAACAAACTGCATACATTCTTCCTAGTGGTTAATTGCTGTACAAGATGCGGACTTGTTATCTTATTTACAAACACCATTAGAACAAATCATTCTATTCATTAACAGAATGTAACTATATATCTATCTCAACCACTTTGAATACACAGATACAAAATGGACATTCATCTGTATACCCCATTTTTTCTAAGTTCCATTATTGAATATTATAGGTGTGTAAACTCAGCAAAATATTCTAAAAGAGTCCAGTAGCCCATAATAGCGTTGGGTCTTCTGTTTAACTGGCAATGTCAGAAATTATTGACTTGAGTCCCCCACAGCTCAACTTAACAGCATGGCTTTATTTCTTATAATTTCGTCTTCATACTTTTCTGCTGGGTGGTTAAGACCAAGGTAAAGCAGGACCTATGCAACAAGAGTTGTAGCTTTTTGGTCTGAGAAGGTCAGTGAAATGCCCTCAGGATTTGTCCTGAGATCCTGTACCTCAGATTGTAGAACCTTTATCAGTGCAGCCATGTGGATGAGTCACGGCCAATGCTTGGCCAATGTGCTCTCTGTGAAAGCCTGAGAGAGTATCTTCTCCCATGTGACTCTCCTTAGGCCCACTCTATGTCATCGATCACTTTCCTCTTTGGCCCCATAATCTTCTTGATCAGAAAATTTGGGACACTACCGAGGTACATGACGTTACAGTACAAGTTCTCGTATGTCCTGAGTCTTAATTGACCTTAGAAGGCTAGGGCCAAAATGTTGGCTTTCCTTGTATCCCTCCTTTTTCTCTAATTTTCCACCCCTTTCTTTTTGAACAATGATCTACCTGAGAGACAGCACAGCAGCAACTGGCATGTCATGACAAGCAGCCCATATTCAGAAGACCAGAATGACAGGCACTCCAAGCATGAAACTACTATTACAGATTACCATCTTCAGTGCAGTTGCTTAGTTCACAGGTATCAGTATATATAGTTAGTCAGGGTGAGAATCTTTGCAACTAACTGCTAGATTCAAAAATCTTCTGAAGATTCTCAGGATCATTGCCTTGCCCATCTTCTACATATAACTGTATGGCTTGTCACTGTCATGTTTCCTAGCTCTTCTCCTTTCCCTCTCTTAATTAGTTAGTCCTTGAGTTCCTGCTTTCCTTTTACTTGTATTATACCCTTCCATTTGTATTTCTTCTTTTGAGTTCTTATACTAGAGAAACTATATAAAGTTCTCTTTTGTCTTTACGAGATGTGACTGAGAACAGTGTGGATGCTGTTGTGGAGAGCCGCCCAGTGGAAAGGCAGGCCTATTGAAAGCGCGGTGGACCCCGCTGCCCCTTGTTCACTGAACCTGCTGCCAGGTGACTTCTGGTTCTTCCCTATCATCAAAGTAGCCATGGAAGTAACTGTTTGAATTGATTAAAGACATGGAGGCTGGCCAGACAATGCACCCAAAGGCATTCATGAAAGAGGACTTCCAGAGCTGCTTCACCGAGTGGCTAGAACGATGGGATAAGGACAGTTGGCATGTGGGCAAGGATTTTGAAGGGAATTAATGGCAAAGTGTCTTTTACTGTAATAGATTTTTAAAAAATTTAAATATTTCTCATATTTTACACAACTTATACACTGATTTGGGGAGAACTATGTGCACACAGGTAAATGTCGCATATCTTGGCATATCTCCACTTAATTTCTTTATTATTGTTATTAATGTATTTAGTACAGGGTCTCCAGGGTCTCACTACACAGATCAGACTCGTAGTGATCCTCCTGCTTCCAGCCTCCCAAGCACTGGGATTACAGGCACACACCACCACGCCCAGTGTCAATTATGTCTCAGCGCACCCCAGGGCATGGCAGGCCAGGGATCGAACCCTGAGCTCTGTGTCTGCCTAAGCAAGTGCTTTAATCTGCTGAGCTATCTGGCCTGCCCTTTCCACTTAATTTCTTCTACAGTGTTTTGCAGTTGTCACTGTAGATTTCTTTCCCAGTTTTGGCTTAAATTTATTCATAAATGTTTTGTTTTCTATGTATTGCAAATGTTTTTATTTATTTAATTTTCTGCTTCTTTGCTCACAGCAAAAGAAATATAATTGCTTTTGCATATTTACCTTGTATCCTGCAAGTTATTAAAAATTCACTAGTTTCAGTAGGACTTTTGCATTGCTTAACAGGGTAGTTTTCTTATTCATTTGTTTTTTGAGTTTTGTTCCTATGTTGCTCTTTCTCTTGCCTGTGAATAGACAGTTCCACATTGTCATTTCTGATCTTTCAGCTCGTTCCTTTCCTCACTTTGTTTCACTGACTGGGACCTCCATCCAATCATGACTAGCCCTGGTAAGAGTGGGTTTCCTCACTTTGTTTCCAGTTTTAGGGGAAAGGATTCATAATTTCGCCACTAATTCTTTTTTTTTTTTTTTTTTATAAATATTGGCTTCACAATTCTTTTTTATTGTATTTCTTTTATTTATTTATTTATTTTTTAAACATTTATTTATTGTGTGTGTGTGTGGCCAGCTCAGCCCACCAGGGGGCGGGGCTGGCTGGCATGTGGTGCTGGGGGATCGAACCGCGGTCCCTGTGCTTTGCCAAGCTTGTTCCAAGTAGGTGCTTTAGACCACTGAGCCATCTCGCCAGCCCCCTCGCCACTAATTCTTAAGTTTAAGTTAGCTATAAATTTCTGTAGTTGCTCTGTACAGATTGTGGGAAATTTTACTTTTAGTTTGCTGAGAGTTACTTTTTAGGAATCATATTAAGTGTTGAATTTTGTCATGATTTTTTCTGCATCTATTAGGATGGCATTCTGCTTTATTTGTCAATATGGTGCGGTAGTATACTGATTTCTTTTCTCTCTTTTTTCTTTTTAAAATTGCTTTATTTATTTATTTATTTATTTATTTATTTATTTATTATGTGGAACTGGGGATTGAACTCAGGCCCTTGCACTTGCCAGGCAAGCACTTACTCTAGTGAGCCATCTCCCCAGCCCGGTTTATTTTCAAGTGTAGTACCAGTCTTGCTTTTCTCATTTGATCATGATGTATTATCCCTTTTAATGTGCTGGATGTAATTTGTTAATATTTTGTCAAGCATCTTCATGTCCATATTTTTGAGTAAAGTTGGTTTACATTTTCTCATAATATCCTATCATATTTTTGTATAAGCATTACTAGTCTCAGAAAATGAATTTGGGAGTGTTTTTTTTTTTCTTGTATATTCTAAATAGTTTGGATATTATTTCTTATTTAAATGTTTGATAAGGGGCTGGGGAGATGACTCAGTAGAATAAGCACTTCTCTGGCAAGTGCAAGGGCCTGAGTTCAATCCCTGGTTCCACAAAATAAATAAATAAACAAATATATAAATAAAATAAATAAAAATAAATCTTTGATAAAATTTGTCAGTGAGGGCATCTAGGCCTGCCTGGCCATTTTCTTCCAGGGAAAGTTATTCAATTTTGTACATAGCTTAAGGGAGCTGAATTTTTAACTTATTTCTATGTAGATTAAAAAAAAAAACAATGTCTTTGTTGCATATTATGGTGGTCTATACTCATACTGACTTGGGACAATTCCATAAGCCTGGGCCACTCCTTGCATGAACTTTGGATAGATAAGTTACTCTCTATAAATGGAAAACCACATGAATTAAGCAGTTATCACTGAATATGCAGGCAGAATATCCTTTAAAAATTATCCAGTCATTTATCAGCTTGAATTCATTAATATTTATCACAAATAGGAATGTCTCAGAGTTCTATTTTTATGAAAGGCAGGTTATCAAATTCTTCATTATTCTTTTTAATTATTTAGGAAAACATTTCTCTTAGGATTTTCTCTTAAACTATCGCATATTCATTCAGTTGATGTCAGTTTTCACATAGATACACAATGACTTAGATTTCTACCACAGGGAGGGCTATTTTGAATAGGAGGTTGGGTTTAAACAGAAATGACATTGTCATAATTTGTGACACTACTAGACTGTTACAAAGAATGCCACAGATTTATATAATACAGAAATACCTGCTAGTTTCCAGATGATTATTTTAAAAGTTTCAAATTAAGTTGGTTTTGTAAACTCTTTATAATGTATGAATATGCAGTTAGATGTCTAGAATATGTAGAGTTAAATAACTAGAAATAAATAGTAATGGTTATATCAAGAAGTACATGAGGACTTGGGAACTGTGGCTGATGGTTCATTGAGATTTAGCCTTATATGTGATGTTTTGATTTGTAAGAATAACAACTTACTGTAGAACTTGTATAGTTAGAACTGCAAAGGACCTTGACACATCTCTTTATGGCTAGAGAGGAAATACATCTGGGATTTTCTTTTTATTCCAGCAGTTCCTCTGAAACTGTTCAACACCAGCTTGTAAAATCTACACATGAGGTGCTATACATCTATTTTTATTTTCAAATTATGTTAGAACAAAGTATTGCAAGTGAAGTTATATGAAACTTAATCATTAAAATAAAAATTCAGGTATTATTCTGGCAACTCTATTTAAAAAAATAATAACATGAAAATGCTTACAGTATGTCATTCATCATTCCTGGAAATATATAGAAAAAAACAAATATATAACTGCATTCCTATCTTAAAATATATGTTTATTTTTAAAAGGATAAGACAGAAAACTATAAAAAGAATCTGTGGTGTTTTTCAGGAGCTTTTCCATATTTTTTTAGTTTTCAGACTTTTGATGGTCATGCTTTTTTAAAATTTTTTTAATGAAAATGGATTGCAGGGAAGGGATAGGAGAAAAAAGAAATATTTCAAAGTGCACTAGTATGTTTTACATGAGACTTATAGGGTCGAGTGCATGTTGTAGAATTTGTAGGTGATATTTGGGAGGAGTTAGAAGTCAAGGGGATGATGAGGGAGACAAGATTGAAAGTTGCTTAGAAGGTAAAAACTCAACAAGATTAGCAACAGGAGCCCACCAGATAGCTCAGTGGATTAAAGCTCCTGCTTAGGCAGACGCATGGGCCCTGGGTTCAATCCCTGGCCTGCTGTGCTGGCCCCAGCCTCGGGGTGTCCTGAGATGGTGATTGAAACGGCATGGCGGGTGCCTGTAATCCCAGCATTTTGGAGACTGACAACAGGGGGATCACTACGAGTGTGATCTGTGTAGTGAGACCCTGTAGACCCTGTACTAAATACATTAAAAATAAATAAAAAGAAAATAGAAGAAAAGAAAATAAAAAATTCTAAGGGCCGGCCAAAGCTCAGCGGATTAAAGCACCTGCAAGCAGGCACAGGGGCCGGGTGTTCAATCCTGGGGCCTGTGGTGCCCCACTCCTGGGGCACACTGAGAGGGCAACTGAGACTGGGCATGGTAGCGCGCGCCTGTAATCCCAGCTCTTGGGAGGCTGTAAACAGGCAGATCACTACGAGTCCGATCTAGTAGTGAGAACACCCTGTAGACCCTTCCCTAAAATTAAAAAAAAAAAAAAAAATCCAATTAAAAAAAAAAAGATTAGCAACGGGCTCATAAGATAGGAGAAAGAAAAGTTAAACTTCAAAAAAGTATATCTTTTATTACTACATATTTACAGGACACGGTGCTTGCATTTATCGCAGGGGGCTGAGGAGGTGTACGTTTTCATTCCTTTTTTGGCCCTGTGCCCTTCCAGTCTCTTCCTGCCTGCTCCACCTCTTGTTCTCCTTCCCATTTGAAAGAAGACCAAGGAGAGGTTAATCTGCCTTTTGTATATGTAAATTTGTAGATTTTATAGTTTTAAGTTTCAAATCTACTTTATAACTTTATAATCTACTTTATAATGACTTTATAATTGGTTTAGATAAAGTAAATAAATAGGAAACTGCAGTTCTTCCAAGTCTGAACCCTTTGGCCTTTGCTAACATGGTAAAATAACCCAGAAGCACAACATTCCAAGCTGGCCAGGAAAATGCTATTTCCCTTAAGTGGACTAATATCTGAATAAAAATAACCATGATCTAAATTTTAGCATTTTCAAGCTAAATAAAGGCTCTGGGTAATGTTCCCTAGATTGTTTTTAAAACCTCTTACGGTTTTTATGCCAAGGATTTAAAGGTGCACAACCATTAGTAGAACAACTTCTCTCTGAAAATTTAAATCCGCATGGAACATATCTTTCTTGGGAATTTCATTTTTATTCAGTGATCCAAATGTGGACGACCTTGTGTCTTTTTTGTGAAGAATCATGATTTACATTAGACCAATGGTTCTTGACCAAGAGTTACAGGAGCTGTTTTTCAGTACCTGGAGGACATTTCTGGTGGTCACAGTGTGCAGGAGTGGGTGCTATTGCCATGGTGTGGGAGAGGTCAGGGACTCTGCAAACGTTGTGATGTTACTGCATTGTATTTTCCATTCCTCAGTCAATGGATGGAGGCTTGGGTTATTTCCAGGTGTGGTGGTGCATGCCTGTAACCCCAGCACTGGGGAGGCTGACAACAGCAGGATCACTACGAGCCTCAGCTGTGTAGTGAGACCCTGGACAAAATACATTAGAAAAAAAAAAAAAAAAAAAAAAACCCTCAAGAAATAGTATTTTCTTTTACTACAACTGATAAAATCCAGTCTGTTTTTTTTTTTTTAAATGCTGTCAGAGACTCAGTTCGTTGATTTCATTCATAATTTTCATCTGCAGTTTGAAAACTGGTCCAGGTTATTTAATGGGATGTGGAATATTCAGATTTTATTATGTTATACAAAATTTAGCTTTAAAAATGATGGCAAATGATATATAAAGTGATGATTTATCTAGCTTATCTCTACAAATTCTTTTTTTTTAATGCATTTAGTACAGGGTCTATAGGGTCTCACTACGTAGATTGGATTTGTAGTAATCCTTGCTGTTTTTCAACCTCCCAAGTGCTGGGATTGCAGGCACACACCACAACACCTAACACCCATTCTCAATTGCTGTCTCGGCACACCCTAGGGGCAGGGCCGGCATGGCACACTAGCGATTTGAACCCCAGTCCCTGCGTCCGCCTAAGCAGGTACTTCAGTCTGCTGAGCTATCTGGCTGGCCTGTATGAATTCTTGTTAATCATATTCTTATAAGCACTTGGCTTTTCAAGAAGTCTGTTAAATTTGCAGATGGTACCAGGACATGTTAATGATTTTTATTTATGTTCTACTTTTACTGCTAAAAATTTACAGCTCAGTAGAGTGCCAGTGTTTCAAAAAGACCAGAGAGGACTAGCTGCCCTATATTTAGGTGGAGATCATGCATAGGAATGTCTTCATGTTTTATTTGCTTAGACATGCATCTTGCTTATTATTCCCTTTGCTTTGCTGCTTAAAGGTGCAACTGCTGATCTGTCTTGTTATG